GGAACAGCCAGAATTACCTTAGATGGCTTTAAAAATAAGCCAAGGAGGTCATGCTCTCTCACACACTGCACAGAAAATCAGCCATGAGAGACGTTTCTGTAGTGGAAAGGTTTCAGCTGGGGCTTTCCATGGCTTCATTTGAAAGTGAGGACAGGAAGGGACAGGGCATGGTGGCATGTGACCATTTTGTGAGTGGTGATGCTGTGCTCCCCGTCACATCCCCACATGTGCTTGTACTCACCCGACACACAGAATAGGGTTGCTTTGGGCACAGGAGTCATCCCTCAAAGCACTGGGGCTGCCCCTCAACCTCCTTCCTACGAACCTCAGCCCCACTGAGGCAGGAAGCAGCAACCTCCCGTGCTCAGAAATAAAAGCTACCACACACATGCCTTGGTTTCCTTTCAGACTTTGTAATTTTTTTTTAATTATTATTATTTTTATTATTTCCTCCTTTTAAGCATCCCTTTAAGGGTGAAATGAAATCCAACCATTTACAGAGAAAATGATTTCAGTATGTACATTTGATTTATCCTTACAAAAAGTTCATTATTACTTGCTGTTTATAAATTACAGAGTGGAAAGGAGCTTTGCAGATTCTTTTTTTTTCTTTTTTTCTTTTTTTTTTAAATTGTTTTTGGCAAGTCCACGCATTCTTTTGCCAGTACAGTGTCCTGATGCCACCAGCAGGTCCAGGTGGAACCCAGCATCAGCAGCGCTGCTGGGCCTCCTCCAGGACGATTCTGCATCACCATCCTCACAGGAAAGAAAAAAACCAACAGTGGCTTTGATTCTTAGTTTCAGAGCATTTCAGATCCCTTTTTAAGCCATTATCTGTAGTCCCCAATGCTTTAGATGTTGGTATATAGCATCAGAAACAGCTCTCCTTGGTGCTGGATTCGAGCCACTCCTGACATCTCCAGCTCCCCCTCTTTTTCAGTAAGAGCAGATTCATCCATTGTCTCAGAAATCAGAAGGAGATTTTTTGGTGGATAGGGGAAACGCAGCAATAGAGGGATTTGGGATCCATTCTACCGTACTTCTCTCCCTTCTCACCAAGGCTTGAGGTCAGTGAGGCCAGCATGAGCCCCAACCCTTCCCTCTTCACCACCAGTGTTCGCTAACAGGACCAGGAGTGACTCCCGACACATCTTCACAGTGCACAGGCATAGCAGCCACAGAGTGCTGGCAGGAGCAGCGGGACAAGAAGAGACACTGCCACCCCACAAGGACACACCAAGAGGCACCAGGGGAACAAATACCCGTTCTGCACTGACCCTGCCCCCACCCTGACTCATAAGTTACCTGGAGGCCACAAGGTCCACTTCCTTTATCCAGCACAGAGGCACAAAGAACAGGCTGCACAACAGAAAACACCTCAGCAAGACACAGGGATCAGAGAAAGCAACAGTGAGAGCAGACTGTTGAGTATGTTGTCCTTCATGCAGGCACAACCCCATCCCATCCCATCCCTTGCTGGGTATACTACACCTCCTCACTGCCTTTGTTCCTCTGGAGGGACAGAGGCATTAGCCCACATCCTCTCCTTCACCTGGGAAGAAGGAGGAAGAGAAGCTTTCCACTTCAAAGCCATGCATGGGCACAAAGGAAGTCAAGCAGAGTTGGGCAGAAAGAAGGGCAAAGTATAGGGATGCACCAATTACAGATAACACCAATTAATCTGAAGGTGGAAAGGTTCTGGGGAAGAAAAAGCACACATCTGTGGGGAAAGGTTGGTGAACCACGGACAACGTTGGTCCCAGAAAGACAGTGGGCTCATGGCTTCGCTGCAACAACCAGTCCTGGGGCAGAATGGGATTTGGTTTTCAGTTCATCCCTTTCCAAACTTCATTGTCTGGCTCAGACAGCGATGGCTGAGGGCAAGCCACCACCTTGGGAAATCGCTGTGCAGAAGTCATCGTGCTTATCCCCATCCCTCAAGGGAGGCGATGGAAGACTTTTAATGACAAGCACTCCAACTCCCTAAGGATAATAAACACAGGGCTTACAGAAACAACAGGAACATTAACTGGTTTGGCCTTAAATCAAAACACTGGATGATTCTTGAGAAAGAAAAAGAAAAAATGCATTTCAGCTGCGAAGTCCCTTCTGCCATCCACAACAGAAGCCTGTTTTAAATTTGATTTCCTAAGAATAAGGAAATGGAGACATCCAGGAGATGGACAGGGCCAGAGTCGTGCAGAAGAGCCCCAGTGCTGCTCTTGCCTGTTCCAGTGGGACCTTCTCAGAAGAGAGAAGAGGGGAACAATGGAGCAAATAGTGAAAGAGAGGGGAGGGAAGGGAACAGGCTGAACTTTGGGAATAGGAGATGCTGATAATTGCAGTTACGGCTTATCTGAATCTGCTGAGATGAAAACCATACCCCAGTGATGAAAACACAACTTGCAATGCACTAAAAATCCCCACGGAAGCCCATGTATGGGAAGGGCTGGTAGGACGGGAGAGGCTGCTGCCACTGCAGATCGGGTGGTGCAGCCTCAGCATGCGTGTGCTTCTGCCTGTTTTCTGTGGTGCTCTGCTGCTCCCAAAGCACGTATGCAATGACTGACCTCTCTCGTCTTCAGGAACGCCTGACCTGAGACTTGTGTTGTCACCAAGGCAATGCCTGAATGTAGATCCTAGATTGAAAATGAGGAATAGCTTCTTCCCTTTTTACTTTTCAATTTACTGTTACCAAATCCCTTGTGTCAATACACTGGGCTCTCCTCTGGTTATCCCTGTGGAAAGCTCTCATGCAGCAGTCTCAGAGCTATTGCTCTAACTTGATAAAAGTGACTCCTCCTTTCTCATCCAAGCCCTGATTTCTCTACAGTCTCCCCCTGCCTAAGACGTCTCTGTGACCATGGCAAAATTCCCTCCTGCATCAACAAGACTGAGCTCTGCAAAGCCACAGCTTCTCTTTGAGGGGAGAGCATTCCACCCACCAAGCCTTCTCCTGCTCAGTTCTCAAAGGGACTTTCCTCTTCTTGGGAGACACATCACAAAGGAAAACAGCAACGTACACGTATATATTAAAAAGAACACAAAAACAAAACGACAAGAAAAGAGGGGATCCCTCAGTTCTTCCAAGCAGGCATTGTGGCACGTGAGATGGGGGGAAGGAACTAAGATGAAGTCCAACTCAGTTTGATCAGAAAAACAACATTCATCTTTCTGTTCAAATTTAATTCTTCTTAGGGAACCAAATTATCTTTCCTGATGCTTTTCACATCTCTAAAGAAGCAAATAGAAGAGAGAGACAGAGATAGGAATGGAGCGCAATGGAGAGAATGGGATGGATGACACGGGAATATGAAGCCCTGATGGAGTGAGTTGAGGTCAGTGGAAACCCTCTTGTTCCAGCTGGCCTGATGGCAGGGTCACTCTTCATTATGACAACATTCTCCTCCTCCACATGATCCTCACTTATTTGTTTGGAAGACGAGCCAATATTTCCACTGTAAGACCAACAGAGCACATTCGTGTTTTTCTCCCTCTTCCCACCACAGCGTGGGCTCTGGGCACCCTGTCAAGCCATCTGCTAAGGAAGGGTGGTGAGGGTGGAGATGCCAATCTGCTTCCTCAATGAGCTGAACCAGTCTACTACAGCAACAGGCTAATCTTGGCTACCCATCGGTGGCCAGCTCTGTGTGGACACTGGCCCACCAGCTGCAAGGAATGTCATCCTACACCTCCTCTATTCTGCATGGCCTAATCTGCACAGTCCAGGCTGTGGATTGCATGATTGTCCCAGGAAAGTCTTCTGGCCCCAGAGGGATTCTACCCACAGCTCCATTCTCCACAAGCTCGCAGTAGGTCCTGTGCCTCAACATGCTTTGTGTTTCCCCACAACACCCATTGGTGACTCAGAACTTTGCCCTTCTCCTCTCATTTCCCCCATGGCAATTGAAAATAGCCAGCACATGTAAACAGAATCCTTGCAGCAGGCACAGCCCACAAGGGTGCAAAGGCAGCCAGAGAGGCATGTAAGAGCTCCACATGGCACACCCTGCTATGAAGAGCTGATGCTCTCCCCGAAATGCCATCCATGACAAGACAGATCACAGCTTATGGATGCCACCATTTCCTGAAAATACGCACACCACCCAAGACCAACTTTGACCCCTCCCCTCCCAACACCAGTGACAAACACCCACGTGCATACCAAAACCATGCATGTTAGCACTCATGCACATAGGAAACCATGCACTTGTAAACATATACTCCCACCATCTGATTTAGTCCCCTGCAGCTTATCCCAGACCCAAACAAAGCACATGCTGCAGGGAAGATGCTTCAGCTCCTGTGGAGCAAGCCAGTGCAGCATTTTGGGGGCAGGGTGAAAAGGGAGTAAACAGAAAAAAAAAATTAAAAAAAAAAAAAAAAAAAATTGGCTTTCCTCTCTGCTTCCCACCTGCCTGCTTCAGGTCTGGTAGAGCATCAGGCTAAGAGACAGCCTCGGACAGATATATTAAATTTGTGGGAGGAGGCAGCGTGTAGGGGAGAACACCTTGGAAGCAAAGGATTTGCCTTCTCCAAAATACTTTGAACATAGAGGTATAAAAAAAATGCATACTGAGATGCTTTTGCACATTCACTCATCCAAAAAATGCCTGTGACACACATCTGCACACGTGACCCCTCGCATCGCTTTGTGCCTGCTGACTCAAACGCTCAATGAACAGCTCAGGCTCGCATCTGTGCTTGCTCCGATCCACAACAGATGAAGGTGGATGGGAACAGCTGCCCTCTTTCCTCAGGGAGCCCTCCCAGCCCCACAAGAAGGAAAATCCACCAGCTGGATGCAGCAAGTCTCTCCAGCCAGCAGAAAGGTCCAGAAGACGCAGGGAGGTCTTTATGCTACTGCCCACACCTCTCCCCTCCTCCTGCCCAGGTCTCCCTTCATTTGTCTGAGGAATTTGTCCCCAGGCATCACCGTGGGAAGAAGAGAAGGGAGGTAGGACAGAGACCATGGAGAAATGGCACACCCCATCTGGAATCAAAGAAAACAAAAAAGAAAGGAACAGACAAACACACAACTCTTTCCCTTTGTCGTGAAGTTCTGTTTTCCCACAGCAGTCCAGCGATCTCAACCAGTACCCTCCGCTTTTCGGTATGGGTTCTCCAGCAAGTAATGGAACTGCTGGTAGTTCTTGAGCAGATACTTGGGAGCATACATGTGCTCCTTAGGGTCAGCAGGGGGATACTCCTGCGTCGTACCATCAAACCAGCCACCAGTCCGGATCAGCTCCCGGATGTAATTGAGGTCTCGTTTATCCTCGTAGTCACCCCAACGGGGGAAGTCCCCATTCTGGGCCGATACCAGTTTGAAGTAGATCCCCTCTGGGGTGAAACACCAGGAGCAGTGCCAGCCAGCAAAGTGGAGGGGGCTACCCAGCGACCACTGCACCAGGATGTGTCCCGTGCTGTTCTCATACTGCCGGAAACCAGGCATGGTGTAGTATTCACGGCGCCGCAGACGGATCCCATCAGTAGCATAGACAGCCTGGAGCATCCCCATAGTGCAGCCTGAAACCACCTCCAAGGTGCCCGGTTGCTTCCAGAAGAAGCCGTAGAGAGACTTGCGCATGTGAAAGGCGAAGGGTTCCGTCCAGCCGTCGTAGAGCTTGAGGAAGAGCACGCCGTCACGAGCCGGGATCTCATCAGCATCATCGATGATGAAGACATCATCCGGGCGCAGGTTGCGGAGGCGAGAGACGCCATCTCGGGTGAGGAAGGTGCGCAGGTAATCGTCAGCGATCCAGCCATCCTGGCGCCCACCAGCAGGGAAGTGGTCCAGGAAGACATAGAGCACTTTGTGGCGGATGTACTCATAGGAGCCGTTGAGGAGCATCTCGCGGAACTTGAGGGGCCGTGGCTCTCCGTAGGCCGTGAAGTTCGATTCACACACCACAAAGACATCCACCACATCTCCCAGCTCGTGGAAGCGGACATCCAGCAGGTCAAACTCATGGTTGATGTTGATAGCGTTGATGACCCGCCGGGGGATCTCCCGTGGCACCAGGCGGTCCTTGGTGGGCAGGTTGGAGTACTGGACCACGGTAGGAACGCCACAGCTGGGGCCGTGCCAGCCCGGCAAGCACACACACTCCACCCACTTGCGCCGCTTGGTCCCACCTGCGCTCAGCGGTTTGCGAGCAGGACGCCCTGAAGCCGCACCATCTGCGCGCTCCTCCGGCCGCCCTCCCACTGGTGGCTTCTCCAACACCTTGGTACCCGGTTTAAAGCAGACACCACCGGCTTTGGTTCGGACAAAATATTCCGTCGTGTCTTCCGGCAGCACAAACTCGACTTTGTGCAGCTCTTCGCTGGCTCTGCTGGGTGGCAGGGGCTGCAGTAAGGGAGAGTGGGAGTACAGGGGTGTGCGGAGGAACTCCGCGCCCCCCGGTTCAGGGCTAACCTGTGGCGTGACGGGGGCATTGTTCCAGAAGAAGCTGGAGACGAGGTTGGGGCTAAGTGAAGCCAGGTCCCGGGGGAAGGTGACATAGGAAAGGGCCTTCAGGAAGTGCAAGAAGGAGATGAGGCAGAGACCAGCCATGCAGAGAGTCAGAAAGAGCTTATGGCGTCTCATCTTCATCCTGTGGAAAAGCCATGAAAAGGAAAGTCACATTCGGGAATTACCAGGGTGCAAAAAAGCTTGCTAGTGGTTGGAAAATAGGCTGGGCATGCTACAAAGCAGGTCCAAACTCAGCGTGCATCTATCAAGAACTGAACCCAAACCAAATCCCCCACACTAACATTTTTAGTGGGCCTTTTGCTTTGGATGGGTTGTACCAAGCTAAACCTCCTCTAGAGCAGATACAGCTTTATGGTCTCACAGAGAGAGGAAAGGTGCCGGCGATGGGGTAGAAAGATGAGAAATCCGCAACAAGAGGAGTTCACTACCCAGTGAGGCACTGCACTTAGCACATTTGTCCCCACTCACTGATGGGAACAAATAAACACAGACCCTGAGTCAGGGAAGATGAAGAGACAGCAGGTTAGCAAGAGGGATGAGAGGGAGTACAGGGTATGCAGCTGAAACCCAGCCAGCATAAGAAAAGCAGTTTTAAGGGATTGAGCTCATAGCCAGGCTGCCAGGACCAGGAAAACACCTACGCTTCTCAGATCTTTCCAGTGTTTACTCACAACACACCTTAAAAACCCCTTGTTCCTAAGAAATTCTAGCCAAGTTTGTATGGGAAATGGAGAAAAAGTGTTAAGATTTTCCCTTTTATTCACCTCCCATCCCTCTGTGCCCACTATATTTCCAGCTGTCTCCCTTTGCTTTTCATCTTCCATGGACCAGATGCTGAGGGTTTTTTTTTTTTGCATCTGTATAAAGGTGGCTATAAAAACTTCCTAGCTGTCTCTGCTGGCAATATAATGCTGTCACAATGGATCCATATCAGACCAGCAAAGAGCCAGCAGTGCTCAGCCCTTTCTTCAGAACAATAAAAAAAAAAAACAGTCTTCATTCTCTCCCTATAGCACCTCCCCTCTGCCAGTCCGTGCTGGGAACGCAGAGCTGCTGTCAGGCAGAAAAGTGATTGAAGACTACAATCCAGAAAAAAGGAAGAAGGGGAAAAAAAAAAAAAAAAAAAAAAAGGAAGAAATAAAAAACAACCTCACCCAACACTTCACCAGGCAGAACAAGGAAAGGCAGCTGCATGCTGCTGCTTAGGGAAGGTTGAAGCAAACAGGCAAGGGAACAAGGTGACCTGAACACCCTCAGCAAGGTGGAGGCTCTCCCCCAAAAGCGTAAAACCCTCCACGCCCAGGAAACCCACCAGCACGCTCCCGACATGTTCCACTGCGTTCCTCAATGGCAGCTCCCCACCATGTTATGATGCCTGCACATGTGTCTCAGTGTCTCCTCCCTCGGCCAAAGGTCCCCACGACAGGTATGCCACATCCCATGCCATTGCTTATAAACCCCACGCAGCACTCACAGGCAGCCCAAGCCCTCAGCCCCGTGCCAGGGTGCTCCCCTTTGCCAGCCGGGCACTTTCCATGGCCCACATGCATCCTGGATGGGAGCAGAGTGGAGAAGTGTCCAGCCCACCCAGAGGGAATGAGTGAAATACAACAGGGCATGTTTACTGATTAACCTGGGGAGAACTTAACGCTGAAGGGAAAAGCCATAAATTTAGGCAGATGGCAACCACTCAAAGGAAATCATATCTGGCCACCTACCGAGGGCTCCAACATGAACTTTGATAAAAGGGTTGTCCACGTTCATATCTTACAGTTCAGCAGCAAGCACTCCCAGAAGCTTCGCTGTTGCCTTTTTAGTGACATTTTTAGGAAATCCACCAACGCCATCCCCTGCATTCTGGTTGTGGCAACTTCATTATTGATGGGGTTATTTCACCGTAAAAACAGAGACTGTAAGCCTGAAGCCAATGGAAGAGTTACAGGGTTTGCTTTTGATATATTTTGACACAGCACAGTGGAGGGACCCACCACGGCCATGGCCTCACAAAAAGCTACCTCTGTGGTGATCCACTGATGGAGGGCCTGGTGCTGTTCCCTTCTCTGAAGCTGTAAAGGACCATCTTGCTCTTCCTCAGGCGTTCTTCCTGGGGCTAAAGCAAGAGGCTACAGAAACCCAAGGGCATCTCATTGTGCCCAGGGAATTTTACTTATCTTAAAGTCTTTGTTATTGTCTTTTAGGAGCAGTAGGACCACTTACTCAAGAAGCAGTATCTGGCACCTCTTCCTTCTACACCACCAGTTTTGCTCCATCCTGACATATGGGGAAGAGAAGAATACAAGGAATCTGGAAAGACAGCTAGCAGAGGCTGCTGGAAGACATCCCTTGCTGGTACATTAGTGTAGCTCTCTCCAGTTGAACGTCCTGTACTTCTGCAAGGTGTTACCTCTGGATATCAGCTCACCAAGGCTCAGGTGAGATGAAGGACTGCCTTGATCCAGTAAGGCTCCAGTTCCTACGGGACACAAATGCCAGCATCCTCTGAGCTGGCCCAGCACACAGGACAAGTGCTGGAGGAGTCAGGATCAGCAGGTCTTCATCTTCTTCCCAGATGGCCTCAATGCTCCACATGCCATGAGAAACTCCCTAACAGAAGTTGTTGCTCCTGACATTTAACAAACTGCTTCACTTTCCAGGCGCTGGTGTGCCGTGTCAACCTAGCAGGACACACAGTTTGGAGAAGCAGAGCTTTTTTTCCTCACTTGACATTTGCATACATCACTGTCCGCCAGGCTCAGCACAAGCTCTGCAGCTCCTCAGCCCATGCATGGCTGCACTGCCTCCCTGTTATCGCAGCCTGCCCTGCAGCTCTGCCAAAGCAAGCTGGCCCTGCAGTACCCTCTGCTGTTCCACTGCCGACAGTTCCCAGGAGGCAGTTTTCACTGCTCAGTTGCCTTTGTGAAGGAGTGGGAACATGAACCCACTCCTTATCCCTGCGTAAAAGGAGGGAAGCAAAGAATAAAGCTGTGTCCTCTTCAAAAACTTCTTCCCTGGGAACCACCTCCGTTCTCACATGCCAGGGATTCCTCTGCCAGGGAGTGGAGAGCTCATCCACCCCTGGGTGGGCTGAGACGCCAAGAGCCGTCTGTCACGTATCCCTTCCCATACCATCTGATCTGCACTGCAGGAAAAGATGTGCTTTGAGCAGTGGCTAATTGGAGACAAAGGCCAGCAGGGGAGGAAAGCGTTATTAACCACCTTCCCCACCCAGAACATTTATGTGTAGCTGAAATGAGGAAGGAGGTGCTGGACAGGGAGACATCTCAGCTTGTCATAAGGAACCCCAGCTGCTCTGGCACAAAGCAGCCATCAGTTACTCGAACACAGAAAAGAGCAAGAGGAGAGATTTCCCTTATGACAATTTTGAATGAGGAGGGGAAAAAAAAAGTGAAGAGAGATCAAGTTACTGTCAGGTTAAAAACAACAGCATGAAAAACAAAAGCTTTAATGTGCAAGCAGAAGAAAAAGCCAGGAAGGGCACGGACAGCTAGCTCTTTTCAAAGCTGAGGGAACATGCAGTTATAAACAGCTTCAGGAGCATTCTGTCTCAGCAATAGGAGCCGAAAGTTCCTCTTTGAAAGGGACAACCTTGGTATTTCCTTGCATGAAGATGCATGTCTCTGCCATGCAAGGGAATGGCTTTCAGAGGAGGAGAGCTAGAAGTGGTACGCATATGAGCTATCCCCAGGCACCTGTTACAGTTTTACTTTGCCATTATATCAAGTAACCGGTTGATTTATACCATCTTGAAATCATATCCTGATTTCAAGGAGCCGGAGAAAGATACGCACAGCTAAGAGCTGGCAATTCACCAGTCCTAATGTTCTCCTCTGGAGGACGCTGGCAAAGGGCCATACAACAGGGCACTGTCTGCACGATACCCAGCCTCTGGGGCACTAGCACTTCTTCAGTGCTAAGTCTACCTCTCATTCCCCTACTCCCAGAGCATCATACATCATCAGGGTCACAGTACCTCAAAACACCAAAATCTCAAACTGCTTTTGATCCACGAACAGCAACAGAAGGAAGAACTAGTATTTGTTTGCAACAGAAACGTAATGAGCTCAAGAACAGCAGGGCTGTGCTTTGCCTAAGGATAAGAAGAGAAGATTATCCTACAAAGCCGGGCAGCAGGGAAAGTGAAGAGAAGCATGAATGTAGCAGAAGGTAGGTAGGGCTCAGCATTTCCCTCACGTGAAGGATGCCATGATGTTATCAGGGACTGCAAGCTACAAGGATGTTAGCAGGAAGTTTCTAGCAGGGTCACAGTACAAGGTGGTTTGAACACAGGCAGGCCCATATCTACTTCCATCCACATTCCAAGGATGGAATACAATATTCTTTCACCACCTTTGTTACGAGCTACTGCTCACAGTGCTAACGCAAAGCAGCAATACCTCATGCTATGCATTTCCTTTGCAACTTTGAGGCAATTGACCACACGGTGCCACTGACTCACTGCCAGCACAGCCAGCTGGAGCAAGCCATCAGCGCAGTTACCTTTCCAGTAAGGTCAGGCAAAGGGAGAACCAGGCTCCGTCTTAATTATCTTCTTTTCCTTTCAACAAGGGGGCAAGCAGAAACATTTGTTCAAGGCTAGTCGGGATGGAGGCTGTGCAAACCGATCTATCGCCTGGTTGGTAGCCCTGGCCATGGCAGGGGGTTGCAACTGGATGATCTTTGAGGTCTCTTCCAACCTGAGCCTTTCTATGATTCCATGATTCTGTGATAAAGTATCTGCTCTCAGTCAGGTGTTAACACAGCAGTTGGCTTCCAGAGTTGCTACCCCTTCACCAATGGGAATCATCAAAGCAGGAAGAAAGATGGATGAAAAAAAGAAAACTGAAGGGTGAGTCTATACAAGGCCAAGGTGAGGCTGTTCAGAACACAACTGAAAAACTAAGGCACTGCTTCCCCTTCCCACTGAAGGAGAACACATGCCATACATGACAACCACAAACACTGGGTTTGTGCACAAGGCTTTGCAATGCCTCAACTAATCAGTAGCATCAGCGGTGAAAAAGAAAGGTTTCTCTTCCTCCTCTGTGTACTCTCGTAAGAGACCGAAGTGCTCCAAGCCAGCAGCTATGATCTAGTACATAAATAAACTAAAATGGATGCAACGTAGAGATCCGAGCTTTTTACGTTTTGCATCTGCCCAGCTCTCCACCTTTCAGAGGAGCAGTACCTTGGGACTCCATACATTCTATGGTCTTCCACTGTCTGACTGTTTTCATCTGTCTTACCCTGCTCTTTAGTGGGAAGCCTTGGCTATTTTAGACGCCACATCTTTCGCCACAGCAATATAGAATCACATAATATCCTGAGTTGGAAGGGATGCACAAGGAGCATCAAGTCCAACTTGACAGCTAAATAATCTGCAACAACACAGCTCTCAACTCTCAGAACACAGCACATGGGACCTGGAGATAAAATGGTCTTTGTTGACAGCATTCTGTCTCAAGACTGATCTTTCAGAAGTCATCAGAATAAACCAACATCTAAACACCTTCAGAGTCCATTATAAAACCCTTCACTTGAACAGATTGTTCTTACTGTAACTACCATAATACTAATAGCAGCATAATTATATAATTCTCCAGCCCCCGGTTTAAAAGAAGATCAGCTCAGAGAAGACTAAAAAACTCTACTGAAATCCAATAACGGCCTATGAGACACCAATTTAATTTTATCCAAGAACTACTTGGCCATCACAAGGGTATAGTACTGCATGCTAAAGAAAACTTCAAGCTGGATTTCTAACTCCATGGGAATCTAACAAATATTCTTCTCAGTATCCTTCAGCTGTACTAGGCTCCCTTGTAACTAATGTTCTCTCTCTAACCAAAGCCAGTCCCACCATAGGGATTTCCATGATTCTAGAGATGCCTCAGCACGCTCTGATCCTTCAGATGCTCTCAGAAAGCACAATTTTGATTTCTCAGCACCACTAGGTTAAGCATTCTTTCCACTAAAGGGAAAATAGCACTTTTGTCCTCTTCTCTCCTTCACTTACGCCTGATATCCTGAAAGGACTCTTCCTCACAAGATCTAGTTTCCTGAAGAGTGTTGTGATGACTCTGTAGGCTGCATCACCACTTGGCCTCAAAATCAGGTCCCAGGACACGTGCTCACATACATACACACACACCCAAAGATGCAGAGCCCTTCTGCCAGCCAAACACAGAGTTGCTGCTCCCTGCTTCACACGTGCTTTGTTTATGGGAACACAAAATGGAGTCTGCTAGTTCAGTTGCTTTCTGACTGGTTCCTTACAGGGAAGGAATGCTCCATCATGAATCCGAAAGGAAACAGGAATGAGACTGCACAAAAGCAACTTCTGTCCTCAGGGAGGCCGCGGCCATGGAATAATCAAAGAAGTATGTGAGAATTCTCAGCTAGTCTCGATGTATTGCAGACAGGGACAGGACATGGCCACTTTGAGGCTAGAAAACTATGCTTTCAAAGACCAAGCAGTGCATTATGGAAGCACGGAGGTGGTTTCATAGGTTCTCACTCTTCACTCACCACCTTCACGGCTCACCACCCCTAGGCTGTCAGTATAAAAGTTCACATTGGAAATCCAAATCAGCACCCAATCTGAGTTAAAAATAAACTTCAAGAGAAGTGCCTAAGGATGAGAATGAGCGGCTGACAGCAGAAACCTCCTGGATGACAGCTATTCACCTCTCACCAAAGCTGTTGCATCACATAGTTGCATCCTCAGACACTCAAAGGGACAGGCCACTTTTTGAGCAGGGTTCATCTAACCAAGACTGCAGTGAGGCTCCCAGTCAACTGCTGTGAGCTAGTCAGTTTCTGGAAGCATCAGGGAAGAAGAACATCTCAAGGACAGATTTGGAAGACAAAGTGCTTTCAAAGCAGACCCTGGCAGGCAGTCCACATATGCTGAGCGAGTCAAGAATCCCAAGAATAGCACCAAAATGAGCAACCAAGATGAAACTCAGAGCTGAGGGCATGTGGCAGTCATGCACCAGATCATGCAAGCAAGAAGCACCTGATGCCACGGTGATGGGCTTAGTTCACAGGCCCACAGTGGCAGGAATAAACCACGTTGCCTTTGGTTATTTGTGAAGTGAGTGGCAGTTGTTTGTGTGTCCCCAGAATAAAAGCCCTCCAAATCAGACCGAGAAGGTGACTCATTAAGCCCCAGAAAGACGATAAATAATGAGAGGCCACAGAGCAGCAGCAAGACCCTAGTGGCCACAGGGAAGAGTCGGCCCTCCATCCCCGCCTTCCTTCCTCCCCCATCCATCACCAACCACTTGGGGTTTGGCAGGGCACTCGCTTTCCCACAGTAGCTGATCTATTACTCTTCAGAAGAGCGTTCCCAGCCCCTTCCTTCCCCTCCCTTCAGGCCACAGGGGTCCCCCACTTGGCAGCCCCCAGATCCCCCTCTTCTCTGAATGTCTGGTGACCAGCCAACCCCATGCAGAAAGCATTAACCCCTCTTCACCGGGAGCAGCCAGAGAAACCTGACTCCACGCTGAGAGCTTTCTCTGGGTGTCTCCCCCTCCTCCTCTACTTCCCACCCCCAATTCCCTCCCACACCCCATTCTCCCCCCCTTCTGCTTCTCAAAAACTAACTCCAGCCCCGGGAGTGTTGCATCTTCCCAAGAATGCTACACGAACCCATGGGAATTTTCCTTGGACCAAGAACAGACCCTTATTTATTTGTCTCTTCTGCCTTTGTTCCTCATTTCCTCTTTCAAGACTTAGGCAAGACCTCGACACAGTGCCGCCCGGATCCCCCGCTGCCACTTCACTTTGTTATTATTTTCAGGAGGAGAGCGCTGATAGGCAGAAAGCTCTTCAATGCCTTGCCCCCAGGCAGGAGCCAATCAGCCCAAACACCCAACTCCGGGCTGTGCAAAGGGCACGGGGCTCTACAGAGCACCTCGGGCTCCGGCACACACAGACAACCCCCTGCCCGCGTAATCCTTCTGACTGCAGCACGGCAGCCCTTCGGATTAAATCTGCACAAATCAAATCGTGGGTAACGACTCTATGCCGGTAACAGGCATATGGCACCATGAAGAGGGGCAGTTTCCCGGAATGAAATCAAAAGCCTCCTAATGCACTTAGCTCAGGGTCACATAAATCTCTCTTCTGCCTCCTGCAGAGGGTTGGATCTTGTTTACAGGCACTGCAGCAGGCCTGGGTCTCAACAATATGTTTATTTCTCTGTACAAACATTCCTTTTCACAAAGCAAAGCAGTGTCCTGATCCTCAGATTAAGCTGAGCAGAGAGGACTATGGAGCACGTCTTCGGAGAAAGAGAGCTTGTTGTCATCAGTGAAGACAAATGCCATAGTGGACATCACACCGGCTGCTGCTGTAACACTTCCCACTCTTCAGCACTGTGAGGCTGCACCTCAAGTTGCTGTGCTCAGTTCTGGGCCCTTCACTACAGGAAAGACATGGAAGTGCTGGAGTGTGTCCAGAGAAGGGCAGCAGAGCTGTGAGGGGTCTGGAGCACAAATCTGATGGGGAGCAGCTGAGGGAACTGGAGTTGTTCAGGCTGGAGAAGAGGAGATCAGGGGAGATCTCATCGCTCTCTTCAAGTCACTGTAAGAAGGTTGTGGTTGGCCTCTGCTCCCAGGTAACAGTGATAAGATGAAAGGTAACGGCCTCACATTGTGCTGGGGAAGTTCAAGTTGGATACTGGGGAAACGTTCTTCTCCATAAGAGCGGTGCTGCAGTGGCACAGGCTGCCCAAGGAGGCGGTGCAGTCACCGTCCCTGCAGATGTTCCAGAGCCATGTGGATGTGGCACTGAGGGACGTGGTCAGAGGGCATGGTGGGATGGGCTGGCCATTGGACCAGGTGATCTTAGAGATCTTTTCCAACATGAATGATTCTGTGATTCTTCTCCATGACTGCCTTATGTCTCAGGGAAGGATGAAGAGAAACGCAAGGCTTTGTCTTGGGCTGAGACCTAAGTGGAACCACACATCTCATTGCAAGGATGTCTGGTGGTTATCTGACCAGCCCCTTCCCAACGCAAAAAACCACAAACTTACACCACGCAGATAAAAACACAGAAGCTGAGCCCTTCAGTTCAGCAGTACGATGCAGGGCAGTTAATGCTGCAACCTCCTGATCACAGACCAAGTTCCACTTCCTTTTATGTATTCAGCGACATAAACATTTATTCTGAATTCTGTTTCTGAGAAGTTAGCTCCCTGCACAGCCATTCCAGAAAGAAAGGAGAAGAGGAAGGCACTAAAATCTCTTTTCTCAACACCCCATGGGGAACAGGAAGGAGGTGCAGGGCAGAGGGGACCACAGCCACATTTTGAACACCTTGCAAAATCTGACATACTGCTAAGAAACACTTGGACAGGACTGCATGGTCTTTCAACAAAG